ATAATATTCTAAACTCATTTATAAAAGCTATATAATTATTTTACCTACTTATCCATTGGTCCATTGGAATAGTGACCATCCAATGGAACCAATGGAACTGGTCAATGGACCTGGGGTCCATTCATACCAATGGACAAATGTGCCAACCCTGCAAAAGCCCCATATACTAATTGCATACTGTTTAATTGCATATACTCAAAAATTTTGGTTCTTAATTATTAATACCAAAATGGTTCTTATAACGTGCATAAAAAACTCTGACGGATGGCATACGTATCGACTGTAACTACTTTTATTATACTGTATACAGTAAAGTGATTTACAATATTAAACTGTAAAATTTTTTAAAAATCTATTATATCAAAAAGGTTTTACATAAACTGGTTTTTTTTTACTAATATCAATAATTTATATATTATAATAAAAGTAATTGTATATAATATATTATATACATATTTAATTAATAGACCAAACTCTGATAGAGATAGATGTATTTGTTTAAACATACTCATAATGATAACCCGAATTTGGATTGGAGGATGCGTGTACAAATTTAAAAAACAGTATCTAATACGTATTTTATCGTTATTATCGTTATGGTACATACGATTTTTTAAATTCGTACCGTTACACGCCCATATCGTACAGATAGATATTCATGAACGGGAACTTTAACGAGCTAACCGATCAACCGACTTTTCACCTGGATTACAGTTTTATAAATGGAAGGGTAATCCGGAAGCAAATTTTTTATCAGCTTTTAGAATACGTTAGAAGTCATTGCATATTCGTGTAACATTTATACATAACGCTAATGTTAGTGTAAAATAATGAACCGAATACGTGTAAAATATATAAGTTTTGTATTCCATAATTTAATGAGGACTTACACATTTTATTAAGTTTCTACGCCATAATATCCATAATATCAAAAATATCCCTAAAGAAAATGACATCTCAAAAAATTGGGTAACGTTAAGCAATTAATAGTTGGTGCTCTAGCGCTAACACTACGTAAACATTTTTATGTTTAATAAATAGTAATAAGAATTTTAATTATACTAAGTGCGAAAAATCTTAATTGTTTTTGTAAGAAATAAGTCGAATAATACTAATTTAAATTCTTGAAGTACATAGAAAATTCTTTAATATAACTCTTACACCAAATACATATTTTATTTGAGATGCACCGTCGTAGAATTTACGTAGTTTCTAAACAATTACGGGGTTAAGCGGCTTATATAATATGTATCTTAATGCACATTTGTGTATATTGTTGAAAAAGGAACAAATTAAATTCGATTTACCGATTCGTTCAATTCGAATTGCGTGCTTTCACGATCTAAGATTCGCCTTAAAAAAGAACGATAAAAAAAAAAAAAAAGTAGGGTTTATTCGTAATAAAATAGTAATAAAATAGTAATAAAATAAATAAAATAAAGAAATTTATGAAGACTTTTTCATATGTAAAAGACATATACAATATTAACGACGCATTAACCGGGGAAATGCACATATGACAATTATAATCTGGAAACCTTATAATGCATATCGGTATCAATATCTTCGATATCTTCTTTCTCAGATTTACTAAGTGAATTAGTTATGGCGTACTCTCAAAATTAAATTAAAATAACAAAAAGCAGCCACATTCTCTTTTTAAGAAGTAGAAACCTCTTTTTAACTAATACCCTGGTTATGCCGTGTCACAACAACATTCGTAAGAGAAGATGGCTTGTACGTATGCATACACGTACGGTACAACAGCGACTAAATAAATATTAGCCAAGCGAATCGAAATCATTGATGGTTGAGTTTGGTTTCCTAAAATATCATGAGGTAATGTTGTTTGTTAATCATTTAATGTTGCTTCTGAAACTGAAGCACATTCCCAATTTTTTTCGCAAGGAAATATCTACACACTGCATAATATTCGCGTACATACGTACGTAAATGTTAACGTACGCATGTACGTACGTACGTACGTACATGAATATGTGTAGATTAAGATTGTTCTTTATTGTTATTTTTTTCCTATTTGCGTAATTAGCTAGCTACTTTTTTTTTAATGCAATTAATGCATACGCAGGATAAATTGAACTTAGTTCAAAATACCGATACGTATTAAACTTTTATATGATACTATAACTAATGTAATTCATCCCAGCTCTAGTATAACAGTATAACAATGATTGTGGCGACGATTAACGTCATAATTGTCATAATCGGACCTAAAAACTTATGACCTTAAATGTATCTAGACGATCGTACCTTTTCTTTGAAAGTTATTATGCTACGCGTTAAGATTGTGTTCAGTGTTGCGTTAGAGTTCTGTGATTTGAAAAGATCAAATAGTGGCAACAATGGCAACACTCCGTAAATATTTTGTCAGGCGCAGACACTGCATATTACCTCAATAGTGATCGGAATGTCTTTAATATCTATATTTAGTGATTGTAAAGTAAAATGATCTAATAAATAGGTAGTAGATAGTTCTTTTTAGGTAAACAAAATGCCTCCAATTATATTAAGATTGAGAATAACGATATGATCTCCCATTTACGTACGCATAATCTTATTCATTTTATGTAACAAAAAATTCCATAATTGTCTCTTAATCTTTTCAACTCCCACGCCTCCTTTTCTCCATCCATCCATCTTTTATCACTTTCAATCCCTAAAATCTTCAACTCCTTTGTCCTCTTCGCATATTCTGCAACAACTCTAAAATGCGATGACTCAAAATTCAAATAATTAATATATAAGCTATTTAGTTTACAATTTTTTAATAATTCATCTAATTGAATAGTAGTGAACCCGCACTCTAAAACTAAACAATCCAATGAATTTGGTATATCTTTTGATTCCAATATCAGATTTTCATACTCTCCACTTTTTACATTTATAAAAATTTCTAACTTTTCAAGTTTTATCAATCCGTGCAACAGTTTCCCAATTTTAATGGGTTTTTGCATGAAACAATTTTCTAATTTTAAATGTCTGATCTCTTGGCAACAATTTAAAATTGTGAATATTGTTTCTTGATTTAATAAATCTATTGTTAATCTCTTTATCGATTTACCGAATATTGTCAAAAGTGCTAATTGTGTTGAATATGATACTGGCGGACATCCAAACTTTAATGATTCCAATGAAAATTGTGCTTGTAATAGTGATGCTATAGATTCCGTTGTTAATCCTTGACAATATTGAACCGTTAAATGTTTTAAAGATTTACATTTTTTCAACGGTGATAAATCGATTTCTGAGAAGTCTATTAATTTAAATTCTAAAGAATGTAATGATTCACTTTGAGTTTCTAAAGTTTGTAAAATCATTTTTAGTCCATTTGCTGCTCTCGCTCCTGACAATAAAAGCTCGTTTAACTCTTTCTGAGAAATAATGATTCTTGAAAACATTTCCATTACTTTAATTTCATCATTTAAATTGATATATGAAAACTTTATATCCAAGTGTTGAATTCTCGAACATAATTTTGAAATGGTTTGTAGAAATGACATGCCGTTTGTTGTTATTTTTGATGAAACTTCGAATTGAAATTTTGAAAGATTTGATAAACTACGATGTGAATTTATAAATGCTGTTTTCTCAGGAAGGTCCGCTTTACCAATAAATTTAGATATCACAAGATATGACATGTTTGTACTGTTTTGCATAATTAACTGGCAAAGTGATCCAACTATTAATAGCGTTTGTACATGCATGCTTTGTCCTATACAGTCTTGACCAAGATATTTTCTTATACCGGCATCGGCTGATAAGTATAAATTATTATATGAAAACTCTTTCAAGTATGTTTCATATTTGAACAACGCTTTCGTCGTGAAAGGAATTTTAATCCTAAATGATTTCAATTTAAGATTTAAATTACATTTTTCTTCTTCTTCGAGACAAGAAATATAGGTCCTGATAAGTTTATGTCGGTTGTCACGAGATACAATATCAAATGGTCGGTTCCATAAAAGAGGTAACACGTTACTACACCAAAATTTGTCCACCAAAAGACATGAGATAAGGTCTTGTCTTGATTCTTCATTAACGTGTTTAAATATAACTCTCATGATTTCGGCTGGCACTATTGGTAATAATTTCTTCTTTTCATCTAGTAAAAAGTTAAGTTCTGATCGATCTTGAGAGATCACCGAATCATGCCGTAGTGGTTCTTTCCTATCCCCGTATAATACTTCATCAATAGCTCTAAGTATTGTTGGTATAAATGTTGTTGCTGCTTTATAATCATTGAATATCTCTGGTGAATCATCTAAAAGTTTTTCGGAAATTTTTTCATTATAAGAATGTTGATGGCTCTTTTTTTTCTTACAAAAAGTATTTAATATAAATTTGCAAAAGCAATTCGCCATTGTTGAAAATTATTAGACTCAAGGTTTTCTTGACAAACATATTTATATCCTTTTCTGTCACACACGGTATTTTCATCTAAAAATCGCATGTCTCTATTTAGTTAGTTTTTTTTGTTGGTGCACGAGCTCGTGATATTAAAAGCGCACAAATAATTTAACGTTAATGGTCAAATAGGGGCTGTGATTTTTGTAATGGATCCAATTATGGTGACTTATTATCTTTTGTTTGATGTACACGATAAAAATTGAATTTTTATTCCCACATTTGCACCTGCCAAACTCGGAAAATATGGTGACAAGTATATATGCAAGTATATTAAGTGAAAAATTGATAAAGGTTGCATGATACTTAACCGTACGTTCGTTACTATAAAAAAAATAAAAAAAATTATAAATTTACGAGTAACGAATTTTTAAACAAATCATCCCAAGTCCCAACCTCGTATTAATTAGAGTAAAAGTAACATCTGTTACGAATTTTTAAGGATTTCATTCCATTAAACATCCTTATAGATATTTCTAATGGACTATAAAGAGAGGTCAGCTGAGTAATAAACCTGTTCTACTTGTTTCAAGGTTGGCTAGCTATACTCTCAGCAACACAACCGCATTAAATTAAATTCTATATTGACTATATCGATATTATTTTTTTAACTGTTGACTTTTTTAAATTTTGTTTAGACTCAGTCAATTCGAATCCATACTGAGCACAAAGAATCTTGCTCAAGATCCCACGATAGATCTTTACAAATTTCGTCATTTATGTTTTCTTGGTAATCATTATAGAAAAGTAAAAATTCTATAATTCCATTTTTTTACAAATAAAATTTCCATAAAATACTAAAAGATTTCTTTCTCAATACCTTAGGCATTCCCGATAAGCCTGGTATTAGGCAAAAAAGTTGGAAGGTATACTTTCAATTCGATCTAATTTATACAGTATATTATGTATTATATATACTGTATATAGAACTTTATTTTCAAACAGATTAGCTTATTTAGCTTATCCAATATCTAGATGATGTCTGGATCTAAATATCTAATGACGTATTAAAATTTTTTTTTTTTTAGATCTTATTGGGTTATCTACCTCTTGATAAGAGAAAATGGAAAAAAGCACTTGCCGAGCAAAGATCAACATATTACGTATGTAACGTAGTTTAATTTTATAATTTCCATATTTATTCTTAAAGATCTAATTTTTTTTTTTTTTTTTTTAATATAGAGTTTCGTCAGGGATTTACTGGTAGACCCAAGCAAAGAACAACCTGTAGATTACCGTTCTTCTGATGATCATCCTTTAAATTATTCACAAACTTCAAAATGGGCCGAATACTTTGCTGATAATGTAATACTTGAACAAATTGATAAAGATGTTAGAAGAACATTACCAGACTTTGCATTCTTTCAACTACCAGTTCCTCAAAGTCCATTAAGTCCATTAAGTCCGAGTCTTACCGCAAAATACATAAATAGAATTAATGGCACACGATCACCGTCCATCCTAGAAACTTTAGATAGCATTAATGATGATGATGCTAGCTTTAGCATTTATAGTGATTCCACCATTTTGACAAATCCAGAATCTGAATCTGAAGTTTCAAATTTAGACCCTCATTTGGCTATAATGTCTCAATCAATTCCATTTCAAATGGATGTTACAACTCCTGTTGCACCAATCACTACTCGTAGATCCATATTCAAACGTGTTCAACATTTAAATAAAGAATGTGGGAATCGACGTACTCCTTCTCCTGCACCAAGTTATAGGTCTGATGGGTCACGAGATGATGATACCGAGGTTGATTTACATTGGGAAGCCGTTGAACGGATTTTATTCATATATGCAAAATTGAATCCTGGTGTTGGGTATGTTCAGGGTATGAATGAAATACTTGGTCCTATTTATTATACTATGGCTAATGATTGTGAAGAAGAAGGAAAAGGTAAGTTATCATTCTGTCAATATTTAATATTCAATGTTCAATATTCAATTATTCAATATTCAAAAATGATTTATAATTTTGTTCACAAATGAATTTGAAATATGTAGCACATGCGGAAGCCGATTCATTTTTTGTATTTACTCTCTTAATGTCTCATATTCGTGATTATTTTGTTCGAAGTTTGGATATGGACGATACAACCGGTATCGGACATACAATGAAAAAAATGATACGGCGGTTAAAAACATTCGAACCTGAATTATGGATTGATCTGGTTTGTAATTATTTAGAATGCATAACAAATTATTATATTATATTTATAATATTGAATTTTTTTTTTAGGAAAGAAAATCTTTACACCCTACGTACTATTCATTTCGTTGGTTAACTGTTATGTTGACTCAAGAATTCGCTCTTCCAGATGTTATTCGCCTCTGGGATTCAATATTTGCTGATAGTGATGATGATGAAGAATTATCCAGTGGATTTGAATTTTTAGTTGATTTTTGTTGCGCTATGCTCATGTAAGTGTACACATATATATATATAATCTATTATAATCTATTTTGTAAGATATTATTTATTTACAATTATTCATAGATGCGTGAAAGACGAATTACTTGATGGATCATTTGCAGATAACATCAAACTTTTACAAGTAGGTATACAATTTATATAGACGCATATATATGTGAAAATTTTGGTAGTTTCTTACCAACATTCATTATTTTCTCAACTAGAACTATCCAATACGTGATCCTACGATGGTTTTGTTAAAAGCATATTCATTACGTGAAAATCGCCTTGTGGCCAAACTAAATGGAGAGGATATCGATTCATCTTCAGAATCAGAAGGCGACGATTACGAATATTTACCATGTATTTATTTATTTCATTCTTTCATTATATAGTTTTCCATTTAATAATGATATTTCATTTCTTTTTATTAGATAATAATGACAACATGGATTATGATTCAACTATAATACAACATCCACCAACGGTAAATGCAAATGATATGAGAATTAAAGGGTTGGCAATGTTGAAAAAACTTCAAGGGGCCATGAATGGTATAAATAGTAAGGGATTAAATGGTCATAAAAATGGGGTTTTTGGTATATCGAACAATAACGATGGTATTAATGTGATGAGCGAATTTGCAATGAAGTTTACAAATGCTTGGAAGAAAAATTTTATCGATTAATTAATTTTCAATGTTTTTGTTTTTTTTTTTTCCTAAAAAAAAAAAAAAGAAAAAAAAGTACTTAGTAAATTAATATTTCTTCCGTACTGCATAAAAACAGTACGCTTCATTTTTATTATTGTGTAAAAAAAATTGTCGTCACCTTTTTATTTTATACAATCGTGTACTGTACACTACTCATTTGTATTTCTTTGTCGTTCCATTAAAAAATTTTAGATTTTATCTAAAATGAATTGTTCTATAAATTTCCATGAGGACCGAGGTACGTATAAAATATATCCGGCAAAATATATTCTTATATGTACTTGGCAAAATAGATTATATCGATATGTATTTGGCAAAATCTATGATTATGTGAAAAATATATGGAAAAATATATGTGTATGAAATTTGTATTAAAATATAAGATTGGAGATAAATCGTATCGTATACGTATTTATCTTTTAAACAACAAATCATATGAATATTATTGACATAAACAAAAATTTTTTAAAAAAAGTTCTTTCGAGTAATTCGGGTAATTCGAGTAATAAGTTTACTAATCTGAAATCTATTTTTTATTCACAAAAATAATACACGTTTGTATCATTTACAAGAAAAGGAGAGGATGTTATATACATTACGAGTTGTTCATAATCTATGGAGAATTTTCTTTATGTAATACGATATGTCTTCATATATTCCCTTCCCAAAATTTTAAATTTCTATCTACAATTTTATCCAACACAAATAAGATTTCACAATATTATATGTATTAAATTACCACTTATCAATTTCAAACCAAGGAATAATCTTAACTCCACGTTTCTTTAACATTTCCAATTCATTTTTTTCTTTACCATTCCATGATATCCTTCCACCAATTCCTAAATATCTTAACGTTCGTTTGATTTTCACAAATTTCGAAATAACCTTTAAATCTGCAAAATTTAAATTTACTGCATCATCTAAGATTAAAACTCTCAAAGGAGCCTCACAATCTTCTAATAAATTTTCTATTTGTATTGAGGGTCCACATTGTAATTTTAAATATTCCAAAGTTGTAGGTAATTCTCTTCCAGAAATGATCATATATCTACTTGCATTATTATGTACTGATGCTATGGTAAGTCGTTTGATTTGATGAAGTCCTTTAAATAATAAATATAAAAGAGAATCATGTTGTGGTAAATAATCCGAAAGTTCTAGTTCAGTTAGGTTAGGACAATATAGAGTCGTGGCTTCTATTGTTTCTCTAGTTATTATATCGTAACTTAAATATCTCAAGTGTTCTCCTGCAGCTCGAATTAATGCCGCTGGTATTAATGGAGATCTAGCGGAATTTTTTAAACGTAATTTTCTTAAATCAAATTTTATGTGATTCCATACACTTTCTGATCCACCACCACCACCACCACCCGTTGATGTACTACCTTCCATGGTTAATCCTCTATATTGTATTAATGATAAATTTCGAAGTTGTTGACATAACGCGAGTAATCTCAAAGAATCAGTGGTTAAATCAACATTTTCAAATTTTATGGTGGCTATGGATGATGATTGACATTGTAGAGCTTGGATAATATCTCTGGATTCTCCACTTTTTACGCCATCGAGTTTAAATTCAGTCAAACTTTCTTGAGCCCTAATTATTTTTATAATTGCTTGTATTACCTCTGTATTATTTTCAAAAAATAAAAGTTTAACATCTAAACAATGAATATTTTTACACAAAAATGGAATCAATTCTAATAAACGAATTGTATTTTCCATCATTGGTTTTGTGCAATCGATAGTAAGATTAGAAATGTTTCTTAACCCAGGTTGTCCGGAACTGAATATAGAACAATCTGGTAAATCGGAATGATTTAGAAATTTATCTATTATAAAAGTTTTTAAACTTTTAGAATTTCTCATGAATAATTGACATAATGTGGATGCTAAAACAAGTATTTGTTCTTCTCTATTGCGAGCTACAAAATCTTCGGTATTCCATCGACATATACATGAATATACTGCTGTCTCAACGTTTTTATATGAAAATTCTTCCAAGAACACTGGGTAATTATATAAAGGTGGGGCTAGATCGGGAATTGTAATGTTATAAGGTTTTAAAGAAACATTCAATGCGGTTTTTTCTTGAGCAGTAAGAGATGATAAATAAATCAACATGGATTTATATCGATTTTCTGGTGTTAATGTTCCTTCAAATGGTCGAGCCCATAAAAAAGGTATAACATTATTACACCAATATCGATTAACCAACAAGAATGGGTATAATGATCCTACACCTTGATCTGCTATATGTTGAAGGATTTGTTGCATACACTCGGTCGGTAAAGGTGGAACATGTATTTTCGATTTAGGTTGATTACAGAATAAGGTGACTATTATCCTTGATAGACAACATAATTCGTCTTCGGGCATTTTTTTACAATCGGGATACTTCATAGTAACCGATTGAGAAGAATTTGAGAATTTTCGATTTTTTATACAAGTTCTTTAAAAAAAAAAAAAAAAAAAAAAAAAAAATTAGTGTAGTCCGTGTTAAGCATGGTGTGTAGATCCTAAATATAGAATTTTTATGCATATTTGATACATGCATTGATACATGCACCATTCAATCATTTCTTTAATAATCAATCTGGTATGCATTCATTTCGTTGTTTAGAAAACAATGATCGTTTTTTTACGAAGGCGAAAAGAGATGAGCCATTCGTCCGACCGGGTTGTCAACAATGCTTAACAATGGTTTTTAACAATAGCTTGGCTGCGCCACAACTAATCACCTCCATTTTTTAGCCAAATCAGGTTTTTGGCAGAAGTACAAATCCCTAAATATAGTTTCATCAAATCTATACTTGAGTACATTTTAACAATCAATCGCAAATTTAGTAATATCAGTTATCAAAATAGTTTACATTTTCTTCTAACCTCTGAACCTTGAATAATGATTGTAATCTCATAATATTCACATATTTGTATTATTGTTCCGATAAGGTAATAAGTAAAGATAATAGATTATAGAGATAACCTTAATCATTATGTTCATCTCGAGCTTAAAGATGGCGAAATTTTTCCAAAAAAAAAAAAACTTTTAATAATAGTGTAAGGTTATTAAAAGCTGTCGCGTCGCGTCACATTATGTCGTATTATGACCATAGAAATCGACAAAAAATTTAAATTGATACTGTGGAACAAACATGGGATTAAGTCTAAATGGATATTGATTATAAATAATCCGATTTTTTTTTTTTTTTATAAAGTTAGATTTAAGTCCCTTTACAGTGTTCATTGAATCTCTCTTTTTTGGGATTTTTTTATTAATAATAAATTAGGAAGTTAGTGTAAATAACATTTACGCATTTTTTTGTAACGGTATGAAATTACAGATTTTACTATATATAAATTAACACGTTTATATGCAGTGTTAAAAGTTATGTAACAGTTCTTAAACACCTATTATTTTAGTTCAACTTTTTAGACGTTAACATCAGTGAATTAGACTCAGAGTATTCAGTATCTAAAGTAAAACATTTAAAGTACAAGTTAAATTTGATTCCAACATAAAAATACCGCATAAACAATCCTTAATCTTAACAGCGAACCAATATGGTAAAAACAATTCATTTTGTTGTTATTTTTTTTTATTAAACATTCTTACATTAATTCAGCTATATGCCTTAATACAAATAATTTATAAATGTCGTGAATGATGATACTAAATCTCGGATCTATCTTAAAAATTTTGAGGTGCACTTTCTAGTGTTAACTTTTTTTTAGGATCTAAAGTTAGAGTTGTTAATAAAAGTGTGTTAGAATTTAGGGTTAGCGTTAGAGTTGTTAATAAAAGAGAATAGGTGGATTTTATATGTAGTAGGCCTTATATTTTCAAATCACGATTTGAATTGTTACGTAGTATATATTCTAATTTTATAGTTTATATAACTATAACCCATTGCTATAATTAAAAATTTTAATTTACTCATTACTATATTTAAGAAACATAATCTACCAATAATAAATTTTACTACCTATAGTATTAAAAATAAAATACATAATCAATAGACATTGAGCTATTTAATAAAGTAAGGACATGTTTACGATCAGGATATTTCGCATTATTAGTAAGGTCTCTATAAATTTTGAAACGATAGGAAGGTCTGATTGTTGAGTTGATATTGTCGATTCGTGAAGATGATAATACCAATGCACGTCGCTATTATCCCTAATAAGAACATTAAGGTACTTTTTTTTTCACTACCTGCACCCAATAATACCAAATTCACCCTTATCAGGTTTACAATCCTTGCGAGTCCAATACATACCATCGTTGGTTTCGCGCCACAACTTCACACCATCATCTCCCTTCTTTTTTGCACTACATGACAGACGTGAACATTCAGTATATAAAAGTTCATAATTTTTTTCACCCCGTTTCATAATGAACATGATGTCTGGCCGCTTCTCAAACGGCCCGTTCCCCTTTCTATCGGCACTAGTGTTGCTTTTACGTTCAGAACTACTGACGTATGTTGATTTTCTTAGTAGAATGTAGCGCGAATTGCTGGTAATATAATATTGTTTACATAAGTGCCTTCACTTTGCAATTCCTCAAACTCTGGACTAAACGCCGGATTATTCCAAGCATCTCTCCTAATCAATAGAAAGATTTTCTGATAAGGCACTTAGAACAAAGTAATAGATGCATATATAATGATACGGAATATAAAAATGAATCTAAAATTTTCTCAATAACATCTGCGAGCTCAGGACCAGATTCTCTCCACTACCCATTATGAGTAAGTTTTTGTGGCAAGCTGGTTACATGATCCTTAATAAAACTATCACAAATTCTTTACACTTTCTTTGCACAATTGTTGGAGAGATCTTAGTACCATTTTTCGTTTCGGTTCCATAAAGGAATCTCGTAGTTCATCATCCTTCAACTCCTGCACTAATTTTGAGTCGTCACTAATAACTTGGCTGGCCAGAGGATTTCTCCATTTTAACTGGGATAGATTTACTCGAATAAGACTAGAGTAGAGACTTTGATGAAGCGGTGACTTATTTCTTTTAAGCTTTCTCTTTAACTCATCTATGTTTTTTGCAATCTGATTCAATTTAAGTTCTTTCTAAATCAGCGGCCAAATTAACTTAAATATTAATCGGACTAATTTAGGTCGGAGCCAATCAAATTGCAGAAAATTAAAAATAAAAAAAAGAAATTTAAATAACCAGAGCAGTGTTATAAATTCAAAAAATTTTTATTGGCGCAAACGCAAAAAAAAAATACGCAAAAAAAAGAAATTTATACGCGCTTTATATATACGGAGTGCACTGATATATGCGCAAATTTAAATCTATGTACGCTGCGCCTCCGCGCGAATCCAATTTACATCACTGAACCAGAGCAAAATCACACCCAAAAATTTAACCAAAAGTTTTAAGTATTATGATAATTTATTAGTGTTGCAAAATAATATCTTCATTCAATAGGTGGAGCGCTAAATTATTGTTCTCTATAGAGGCCACATTTCAATCCAATCCTGTAATGGGGCATTTGCTAGGAAAACCACCATTTGGCACTTACAGTAATTTTCCCAGCAAATGACCCAAGTAGCATTTATTAAATACTATAACATATCGCTCTCCCCCACAAAAAATTGTTCACCCCCTGTAATTTTGACCAATCGAATTTTAAGATCAAGTGATCGAAACGAAACCATTTTTTTACAAAAAAAAAACAAGAATAACTAAATTTTATTTAGGAAACCACCTTTTGCGGCCTAATTAAAAATGTTCCTCGTGATGTTTTACTAATAAGCATTATATTGTTCTAATTATAACCCTAATTATAACACGGTTTTCTTGGTTTTCATTTTACGCGTAATTTTTTTACTTAGAAAACAAAAGTTTGTCTTAAATTTTGATTGGTAAAATTACTGGATATAACCATTTTTTGTGGGAATGCTATCTAAAATTCGATTATTGTACGCAGTGTTTAAAATTCAGAACAAAATTACTTGCAACTGCGCAGTAAAAAAAATTTTACTTGCACAATCACAAGTAAAAAAAATTTTTTGCTTGTATAATTATAATTTTTGCAAAATTATATATATTATATCTGAAATTAAAATTTATTTGAAATTGCAACTTTAGATATCTAAAGTAGCACCTGACAAGAATTAAACCTCTAAAATTAGATCTTTATATATGAAATTCTAGTCAAGTACTGTTTTAGATATCTAAAGTTGCAACTTCAGATGAGAGACAGCTTCAAATATAACATATGTATTATATAAACTTGGTGCAATTTTTTTTTAAATTTTATTTGCATATTTTGTATAAATGTTTAACAAAATATTTGCATATTAAGAAAAGCTTTTGCATATGTATATTTTGTACAAGCCAATTTTAAATACGATTGTATATACATATTCATTGATCATGTACCAATAAATCATATTTTTCTATTACAATATACAATATAATTATTTAATTGTGTGATTTCAAAGTGCTTTTCTTAAATAATATCTGCCAATATTTTTAAAAATAAATTTATATTCACACAATTGGGCAACAATCTGTAATTGTATATATGAACTTCAGATCAAATATAATATAGCTTACTTCTTAATAAAATCTTTAAAAATCTTTAAATTTATTACTTTATATTATAATATAATTTTTTATATTAATTATAATATAGATACAGTAATAAAATTAGTAAATTTAATAATTTTTGAAAAAGTAACCTATATTATATTTGATTTATAAACTTTAATTGCAAACAGTATAGTAATAACAATATCAATATTACATACATTTAAACAATCATTAATTATAACTCTTTTGGCTATAATATATATTATTTTTTTTATAATTAAGATTAGCCTCTTTGGCTTATTACTTTTATTAGATGTTTGAAAGTTACTGATGCTTTTAGAGAACCAGACATAATATATTTTTGACAAAAATATATATAGATATATATACAACTTTAATTATTATCTATTTAAAAGCTTTACTATGCTACTGTTACAGTACCGTGGCCTTCTTAACAGCAGTACTATAACAATGACACGGCTACAGGGATCCTTTACAGGTTTATAGCGGTGTCCAACAGGTAAGTATAATTTCTACTACAACTAGAAACTATACCCTTCCGTCTGTGGCAGTTCGGGCAGACAATAGTTTATAGATAAAATATATGTTTATTAAAGATAAATAAGATAAGCTATCCT